GCTCTTACGTCCGCAAAAGTGGCATTTATTCTCTAACAAAAATCTGACATATTGTCTCTCACTCATTCCATCAGGTGGTACAAGTTTACGATAAGGCATAAAAGAATGACGAGATTGTCGCCAAATTTCTTGAATAGTTAAAGAATCTTCACAACAAAGGTCATTATAAAATAATTTACAAGTTCTCGAAAGAGAAAGTAAATCAGCTGGTGATAAACTTTTACAAATCTGTAAAAAAGTTTCTGGAGGAAGTGTGCAGAGTGGTGAAGGCTTGTTTGCTTTTGGTATATAAGATGATTCTGAAATTTGTTGTAAAGGATCAGAATCTGTCAATTGTTGGTTTGACTCATCAGATGAAGTTGATCTAGCTTTAAAACGTCTTGTCTGGACCATTTTTGAAACCTTTTTAGGTGAATGATCTTTTTTAATCGATGACTATCTAATAATATCTAAATCAAAATAATATCTAAATCAAAATAATAAAAAATAATATCTAAATCAAAATAAAATCTAAATAAAAATAATATCTAAATAAAAATATTCTAAATAAAAATATTGATGAATGCTTTTTACCTTTACCTTTACCTTTCTTTTTTTTTTATGTAATAAATTCCAAAGTATATAATATTAATTATTCTCAAAATTTTTTTTGAAAAGAGATCAAGAAAAAAAAAGAGCATTGAGATTTTAACGTAGTTATCTATTCTTTTATCTACAAAGCAGGACAGTGCGTTAAATCTGATGTAACTTTGTGACGTTATGATTTAGGCAGTCGAGTACCCAGAGTCTGAGAGTATGATAAAAAAGAAGTTTTTAACCAGATCATTGCAATAACTAATTAATTAAATTAAATATATTAAATATTGATATAAATATAGATAAAATGAAATTAATTAAAACCATTTTCTAATATAGTTATATCATTGGTAAACTTGTATGATTTATCAATTCTAATTCTAATTGTCTGTTTATAGTAACAGTAACGGCAAGTTAAAAAAAACAAAACGTAAACCATCATGATTTACCGTGCAGAGTGAATTTCGCGAATCTTGGGGATCTTTAGTTAGATTCTAATAGATTCTAATACTCTTTTGGAAATGTATAAAGAATATGATCATGTTGTGTACCGCCATAATATCGATATAAAGGATATAAAGTTAATTTATAAAGTTTACGCAACTTTTTGTCATTCATCAAATACGTCCTTTTTCACGAAATGAACCTTCAAACATAATGTATACTTTAAATTCATATCGATATGTAAAAAAAAAAATTTCCGTTACTTTTTATACGTATGTATATCGATATGTTGCATTTATTGTTATCGTTATCTGTTATGTAAATATTTAAAGTAGCGCCTGACTGAAATACATGCGTTCTGGTCAGGTGATACTTTGATATTACTTCAGATACACTAAACTTGTGTAAAATCCAAATTAATGCATAAAATATATTTATTAATTAAAGTAATTAACGTTAAGATTGTACGTATATCATTTAATTTCCATGACAATAACTTCTATTACAGTATTATAGTTAAAAACACATGGGTATATGTGAATTTTTTCTAGAAAATGTTTATAATATAAAGAAAATCCAATAAATATACATTATGTCAAGCATGCATTCAATTCTCATAAATTTAATTATTAAATTCTCATTAATTTAATTTATAAATTTAATTTAATTAAATTCTCATTCTACATCATATCATAATATTTTTGTGATGTAATTATACTCATGTTAAAGAGACGCGACACGCTCATTTTAAAGA